CGTAGATATCTCCAAAGAAAATTATAATTGAACTTTATGTTCTAGCTTGATAAGTACACTCTTTCTCAAATAGATAAACAATAACAAATGTAAAAAAGAAACATTATACGCACTTTGCTTGCTTTAGACCATTTTTCCAAAATATTCAGTCTAAACGATAGAAAATTAGAATTTAATACAAAGAGCACCTCTTTTTTTACTTTTTTGAATCGAGCGATTTATTGATTGATGATGTTGGTAATATTGGCATCGGTAATAATGGAATTATTGTTGCTGCTGTTGACGAACTTGTTCCATCACCGATTGGATATTTTTGACTACTATTACTAAATCGTGGTGGCACTTCGTCTGTAAAATGAAGATGTGGAATGTGAGAATTTTCGAGTTTAAACGGAAATCCTAAAAAAAATTGAGTAATATTAGTCGATTTGTTAGTAGTTTCAAGCGAATGCTTGGCATACCTTGTTCTTCGATTGTTAAACTCCCAGGCATCTTCTTTTTTCGGCGAAAGGCTGATATAGGACTTGTAAATCGATTAGTGCTTGCACTTGCGGTTGCACCAACACCATCAGGTACGGATAATTTTTCACTTTTTGGTTTACTATAAAATAGGAACAAAAAATATATAACCTATAAGATCATCTTGTCTCTGCGCCTACTCGTACATCATTTCCAAAAGGACAATAACAAAGTCCAACCGCCACAAATAATTCTGTTCGACTTACCGAGGAGGGAAGAGACTAATTATTTCATCTAAATCAACAACTATATAAGAAAATATTTACCGTTTGGTATTTGTTCCCGAATATGGATCATCACTCGATTTTCTTTTGGATGTTGTTGACGATGATAAACAATGTCCACCACTACTACTACTGCTATGATGTTGATGATGCGATGATGACAATTTTCCACTTTGGTCTAAAAACATTGTTGTTTGATCTCGACTATCGTTATTTGAACTTGATCGACGACGCCAACGATTAGAGATTTGAGCAAAAAACTCTAAAAATAACGAATCCATTAGTGTATTGAAATAAATTGTTTTACTAGCAAAACATGTGAGTACGTCCCCAGGTTGTGGAAAAGAAGAATAAGATGAAATATGTAGATATCAACTACGCTAAGTCAGTTAGCTGAATTCTATTCAACATCAATCTGAGAAACTCGAGAGTAACAACAACAACAAAAAACTACGTTTTACCTTTGACTGTTCCACTTCTTCGTTTTTTGGCACAATCACCTTTTCCATTCAACGATTGTTTCCCTCCTGTGTTAATTAAACAACTATCATCTTGTCCACTTCCATTTTCTGCTGTTGATTGTTGTTGTAGACTAATTAACATTTGCGCTCGGTCATAAATTGATTTTTTAACAATACCCAATTTATCAGCATTCATAATTAATATTTCACAAATATGGGTTACATTATTAACATACGATTCAGTCATTGTTTGTTTTAATTCACAACGCATTAAACCTTGTCCCAAACAAATAGCCAAATTTCGAGCATCCATTTTATTTGATTGTTGTTGTTTCGATATATCAAATAAAAATCTTAAAATATAAATTAATGAATGCAAATGTTCATCGGGTAAAAGTAATAAAATATTTAAATAAATTTCAATTTTTTCATTTTCATTTATTAATGGAAATTTTTGTTGTAAACATTCAAATAGTAATTGTTGAGTATAATATGTGATAAGTGGTTGTGGAAGTCGTTGTAAAAATTTTTTCAATAGTAAACAAACGTCATTGACAGGTACTGTTGTTAATGAACTAAATGAACCATCGTTAACAGTATTCTAAAAAGATAATAATTAAACTAGACACTGTACGTGTCCAATGCATAGTGCTATTAACGCGGAGAGTGAAAATCTCGGTCCAAAATAGAAATAATGCGCCTTTGAAAAAGAAACGATGTATATGTTTTGGAAAGGTAATCACAGATTGATCTGACGACATGCAAATAATTTCTACTTAATTTTACAGATTTTTTCTTGAAAATCTACATAAAACTATTTTACTGACATTGTTCATTAGAACTACGATGACTATTCACTCTTACCATAAATCACGAATGAGAAAGAAACCTATACGTACTACAAGAGAATCAACACGTTCTTTCACTCNTTTGAAAAAGAAACGATGTATATGTTTTGGAAAGGTAATCACAGATTGATCTGACGACATGCAAATAATTTCTACTTAATTTTACAGATTTTTTCTTGAAAATCTACATAAAACTATTTTACTGACATTGTTCATTAGAACTACGATGACTATTCACTCTTACCATAAATCACGAATGAGAAAGAAACCTATACGTACTACAAGAGAATCAACACGTTCTTTCACTCCACATTTTCGAAATAAACCTTCTTTTTCAATATGATGTCGTATACTATCAATACAGGCACATAAAAATCTAAAATAAGAGGAAAAAACAAAATACTTCTTACATAAATCAAAAGTTTTCTTTTTCTCACTTACGTTGGAACATTAAATTCAAAATTATCAATTTTAACAAGTTTCATATCGAGTCTTTGAAGTGGAATGTCAAATACATGAGCTTTACGATTCTATGTATGAACAAAAAAGAATAAGTAGTAAGTTCACAGAAATAGGCGAGATTTGTCGACAAAGATGTACGCTCGCACATTAAACAAAAGATATGCTCAAAAGGAAAAAAATTTACTTATGTGATATTCTGTCTTACTTTTTGTTCGTTTGATGATTGTGCTAATTGTGTACGTTGTTTTGTTGCATCTACATGAAGTTCATGAATTTTTAAATCATTTGCAATAAATACTCGAACACTTTCTTTGTCGGTTAATGATAAAAAATCGTACATAATTTATGATGATAAAAGGAAAACAAATATAATAGGAAGAATACAACAACAACGAATTATAATTTAAGAAATAAATTAGAAAATTAAAATAGTTGATTCAATAAAATATAGACAATAAGACAATAAATAAAACATTGATACCACATATATAGAATATCAATAATAGAAATAAACATCAGATAAAGCAAGATTATTTCTTAAAGAAAACATTGTAACTACTTTACAATTAGTTTTAATATTGAAATCATCATTTTCGAATGAAATGGTATAAACAACTATATTCGCCCTCTTTTGACAGAATAGTCACGTTGTTTATTGTTTAGATAAGCATACACAAAACGACATATTTCTTCGATAAAAAAGACGCTCACATAAATCGAGAAGAACGGACGAAAAGCCGTACCCAAATTCACTTGTGGTTCAAAGTTTTAGTGTAATAACGTATGCAAAAATCCATTTCGCATACCATCTAGCTGACTGATAAATGAATTGCCTTCAGCATCGTATGAAGAAGGAAAACCTCTAACTAGTATTTCTAATTATGGTCAGGAAAGATCGTGAGTTTTCCACCCTAAAAAATATTTTTAAACTGTCTGCCAAATTTCGTTTTCTTATTTCAGCAGAGAGTATCTCTCGAAAGTTTTGTTTTGATCATGTTTGTCTGTCACCCCGCCAAAACAGTTGGACCAGCATCACTCCTACGGCTGTTCGATCATGATTCGTTCTTTATCCAGATTCTGACATTGTCGTTAATTATTTCAAGAAATGGAAGGCTTAGGACTTTTCTAGATAAGCTTACATAGCTTGATAACAGGTGAACAGTACTCTTCGGCTAAGAATAACTTACACATTTAAAACTATTCTGTACGTGAAATGACAAAGCATACACACAGTGAGTGACAATTACAGTACATTTTTAATTTCTCTTTTCTGCTTTAGCTGAAAGCGATTATTCGCTCATTATAAAAAACTCATTGTTTGATCCCAAAATACATTTCATATGTCGCTTACGCATTCAAACCCTCAGGTCTTCTCCCTTTGTAATTATTTATATTATATTTAAGTGTTTCCGTATACAAAACTGTTTTCCTTGTTGTAACATAACCGATATATATGTAGATCGGATATATGATATATACATATATATACATATATACATATACAAAAAGCAAGAGCAATTCGACAGCCAGTAAAAAGTTACGAACCTTAGTACGAAATGCATTAAATAAAATAGCCTAGTTATGCATTTGAAAAGTATTTTCTCTTTTAAAGTAACTTTTCCGTCACTTTGATAATACAACGTATCTACTGGAAAGTTTTCTTTCACATATTTACATTGGTAATAGTAGAGGTCGCGCGCTTTGCTTTGCTGTTTCTTGCCTGAATGATCGCTCTCTCCTCTCCTCGCGCAAAAAACTTAAAATATAACTTTTCTCTTAGTTCATTTCAGTGGAATGATTTGAGTTGGACACAAAGCCAATTATATAGAATAGCAATGTGCCTTGTGATCTCATAAAAGAAAAGAATCCTACCCAGAGTTGCCGGATGCTTAGGTCAGCAAAGCGGAAAGTTTTTCCAAAATGCAGAAAAACAGCGGAAACGCATTTTTCACCAAACGCAAAGGGTATCGAAAAAATTCTAGTGCTGTATGGTGATTCTACTTAAGCAACACAAAAGAAGTGCAAAACATCATTTATATCCCAGTTTGAATTGATATTGGCTTTTTGTGGATGCATGTTTTTGGTCAGCCTTCATAAATTTCAAGAGTTATGTATGGTAGGATAAAATTCAATTCGAAACTTTCCCGTCTACGACAGCATTTAATGGTTAAGATTTTCTAACTGAGTTGACGTCGCTTCCTTGAAGATTCAGTATTTCACTATTTTTTACACTTCCTTAGCAGCACTTGAGACAAGCTAATGTTTTTCAGTTACCGCTCACTTCCGGGGCAAATTTCTGATTTAGTCCCTAAAACAATGCACATCTGTTTTATAAAAGTTGCAAAAGCATTGTTTTGAGAAGTCATTCAGCTGGCGAAGGCGACAAATTTGTTAGGAGAAAATGAAAAAATCTTCATTTAATTGCAGGTAAAAGGACAAAAACAAAAAACCTCGAAAACCGGACAAATTGCGGAAAAAACTAGAGAGAGCGCAATTTATCCGCAAAATGCGGACCACCTGGCAACTCTGACCCTATCCCAAAAAATTCATTTTCGATTTAAGATCATCCGACGCTCTTATTCTAAGTTTGCACGTAAGTGTTCACTAAGACTCAAGCACTACTTATGCGGCGAATCTTTGTATTCAATTTCAGCGTCTCCTAAACTAATATCGTAGCCACCGAAGAGCTCACTAATAGTTTTTAAATTTTCTACTGAATTTCCTTACCGACAAATTTTTCGAGAAAGGATATATTTTCTTCACTAGTTTATTTTCATCTCATCTACTGAACGAAAAAAATTTTGGAGGTTGAACTCTTCCTCTACCAAATTCCTGACTATGCTAACATCCTGAACCATCAAAACACTTTTATATCTGCGCTAGTGAATTAAATTTAACCAAACGATAAGCACCGTTCTTTCTTACTAAAAATGCACAGATTCAAATCGAAACTTTTGAGAAAAAAAGATTTTTGAACAACAGAACTGCTTCAAAAAAGTTTTTCTAAAGTATTGTTCTAAAAAAAGTGTTTCTGTAGTGATCGTACGTACATTACACTTTTCACCTACCTATATGAATTCAAGAATAATTCTGGATCCGCCACTGCTAATAGTCAAAAGTGCAACACTCTAGATGAAGTTGACTGTCAAGAACAATGGGTGGTAATTATCCTAGAATACCTTGTTCTTTCAATTAAACCTTTCGTTCGTCGTAAAATGTATTGAATAATGAAGTATTAATAACAACATTAGATATGTGGTTAAAAAAAAGTTAATATCTGACGTAAATATACACGTTAATAATCTGTTTGTAGAGAAAAAGTACGTAAACAAAAATATGTAGAAAATTGCAAATTAAAAATGAGATTTACACACACAAAATATCAGACAGTTAAGTAGCATGCAAGTTAATTTGACAAAAAACATGAAATTCAGTCATATAATTTCGAAAATATACTAGTTCTATTTGTTGTACTTGTAGTTGGTGTTGGTGGTGTGAATGTTGGCGATTTCAATGATTTAAAACGTTTATTCGATGACATTGAATCATCCATTATATTCGATCGCTAAAACAAGCAAAAAAAATACAGGTTACATTAGTGAAATAGAATAAATCAGTTTCTCCCTCTGTCTCTAGCTAACGGTACTAATGAATAGTGACTTTCTACAACTTTCAAAATTAAATATTATAAAATAATTACATGAATTGCGAGGCTCATCGAGCGTAAGGCTCAAAACTAACGTTTGTTCCTTTCGGCAGCAATGAGACAAGACGTCATGTGAAAGCCATATATGCACTTTGCCGCTGATGGCCTTTGGATTAAAGCAGATTACCATCAAAAAAGAGCGAATAAGTGCAATATAAGTTTAAACCGTCAGGTTTATTAATACTATAATTCATAATGATAGTTCAGAGTACAATTTGTAACTGTTATACAAGTGAAATTAACAATCTTTACCTTATCTCTTGCTTGAAATTTATTTGGATCAAAACTTTTCTCATTTGTTATTGGTGGTTCATTCTCATCAGCATCCTCGATCTGACTATTATTCTTGTTAGACGTTGAAAATACCAGTCGTCTTGGATCATGTTTGACATTTTTAGCCGTTGTAGAACCATTCATTCCAGCTGAACATTTCGATGTCAATTGATCATAACGTGAACTTAATCGTTTTAACGATGAGACGGGAATTACTTGTGTTGTTGTCGATGTGAATGCGGCAGAATAAATCTGAAATAAAACTTATATGTTTCAAATGATTTCCATTATAACAGTGCACTAATCTTGCCTCTTTTTGTTTTGTTTCTTTATCTTCATCTGTGTCAATGGCTGATATTGAACCTAGAACAAGATAACTGTTGAACTTTTGACTTTATTATCACTGAATTTATTTACTTTGAATTTTTTTCTGTCTTATTACACAACCAAGTTTAAATATTTGACTATCATTGCCAATAGTCTGAATATCTTCATTCAAATGCAATTCTTCGGTCTAGAAAAATAAAAATAAAATAATATGATGCATCCATTTCCCTATAACAAGGTTCTATCGATTAAATTTCCTTACTTGAATGTCTTGAAAGAGACGTTCTCGTTCCAGATGATTTTTCTTATTCTTCAACTCAATTTCATTTGTATTTTCATCAATATCATCAATGTTTGTCATTAAATCATCGTCTTCATCTACATTTGTATCTTCATCGAAGTCTTCATCGTTCGATGCTTGAAATGAAAGAAAATTACAAAATATCTGCATTTTCAACTGTTTCATAAGTTTTACTTACGACGTCTTCTCAGAAATGTTCCATCGACATCATCTTCATCATTGTCTAAATAACGATCTTTTAACATTTTCAATTTTTGTTCATCTTCTTTATTCATTATTTTCCTACAAATGTAATAAAGATAATTTCAGCCATACAGTATATGAACAGATACTATTCTACTCACATATGCACTTTTGATAAATCATTTAGATTTTTTTCATTCAAATCAGTTTGATCAGTATCAATAAATTTCAGTAATTCTTCATCTGGTACGTCATTGCTGTCGTCTTCTATTTCATCATCATCCTTGTCACCCACTTCACTACCTAAGATATTTCCAGATAAATAAAGTTTAATGACAGTCCTGAATTATTTGTCAATCAATCTAATTATTTGAAGATTAATTTGTGTTTACCTGATTCTTCTGCTTCCACTTCAAATAAACTTTGTCGAAATTCCATTAATTCTTCATTATTTTCAACATTTGTTTGTTCTTCTTGCTCTTCTTCTGGTTCCTCTTCGCTATCATATGCATCCACCTCATCAGCCATCGATTGATCATCATCGTTCGATGATTCGGATATTCGTCGAATTTTTCGTTTAATTACAGGTATTTCAATATCGTCCTCCTTGTCCTCTGGCAGCGTGGTAACAACTGAAGATACCAGTGATGGACCATTTTCTGATGAATGCGCGAGATCAATGGATGTTTGAGGGACAGGTAATTGTGGAAGAATAAAAAAGTCATTTAATCGATTTTGAGAACATGGGATACTACAAAGAAAAATCAATCTCCGTGTTAAGTTTGAGACATTTCCATTTAGATGATTAAATGTAATTATGTTCAGGCTTTCCGATTGTTTTTAATCGGGGTGGGTAGATTTCTTTGCCGGACAGTCTTTTTAAAAAAGTCGGCAGACAGTTTTTTCCTAAATAAGTGAAACAATCGTTAATTGAAAAGAATTTTTGTTGAGCTAAACGCGTTTATTAGTAGACCAATCGCCAAACGGCATTGTAGGTCCACGATTCTCCCATCTCTTAATGGGATGTATCAAGATAAAAAACATCAAAGATAAAAACATGAATAAAATTTAAAAAGAAATTTAAAATGTAGTGGAGTAAGTGCCTGTAAATAGAAAGAACATAAAATGAAGATGGAGGATGTCATGTGCGGTGAGCGAAACACTAGCACTATAGTAAACAGTAAATCATCAGGTATGTCCAAATCTGTCTGTGACATGAATAAACTCACTTACGGCATTGTACAGTACGTACAAGTCCGTAATCGATAATTGTCGAAGGGATGAATCACGAAGCAGAAGATGATTGATAGTGATTGAAGAGTGTAAAAATATTTCTTTTAGCTATTGCAGTAATCTGACAGGTGCAATACTATGTCGCTTACAAACAAAAAAGTAATGCGCTGTTGTCTCTCGCATACTACAAGAACAGAATGCATTTTGAGTTAAATTACGTATGAAGTCACTGTTTAATTGAGAAAAAACAGTCCTTAGTCTGGGAAAATGTATATCTATTATATACTTGGTGTGTAATGGTATTCTCAGAGAAAACATATTATCCGAAGCCGCTAACAACTTTTTGAACTGTTTAATAATTAATTATTAATTTTCGTTACTCCGTATCAGAATTAATTTTTTCAATAAAAACAATATTTAATATTCATCCATGTCATTCTCTAGAAATAACGATATATTTCGTTCTTTGGCTCCATCTGGATCAGAAATAAAATCTTTTATAACAAAATTAGTAACTTCTAGGGTTAATGGAAGTTGTAAACTCGAAGCTTTGATACATGTTTTTAGGGTCACATCTCCCATACGATTTTGTGTTCATGTTTTCACTCGACGAAGTGTGCTAAAAACCCGTTCAGCGTCGTTTGACTCAACAATAAAGAATTTAAAAGACTATCTGCCAGTTATTCTGACGGACAATCAGAACTTCAAAGAAGGTAGAACACAAACTCTAAAAGTTTGGTGGACAGTGTCAAAATTTACAGTGGAAAGGTTCCCCACTTCCCCGCCTAATCGGAAACGCTGATTATGTTTCTGTTTTCTGAATACACTGAAATTAGCTTTTAAACGCTACTTTTTTAAGAGTAACGGAACGTTGTTTATATTCAGAACTTTTTTGTCAATAAACTCGTTTTCAATCAAAGCGATTACGTACTCTACTTCTGTAAATTGTCCAGAACAAAGTAATGCAACATCATCTAATGCTGAGAGTGGTGTTTGCGATTTTCCACACCATAGTTGACCAACATTTGGTTCCCTATATAAGTAAACATTTTTATTAAAAAAGTGTGAAGGTATAGAACTAGACAAACCTTTGTGATAATTCCGAATCGCTTCGTAGTAATGAATTTTCCTTGGAAAAAAGAAAAAATTATAGTAATTAGACTGTTTAGTATGTTCGTTCTGTCACCTACTTTATACGAGTCTCCTTGTTGTTGTGAAATTTGAGCGAGGGGTAAATTTGGACGAATAATATCATCATCATCATCATACGATAATTTTTGTTTAACTAAAATAGCACAAATTCTCATATTTAGCTTGAGAGTCATCCTAAAGACTTACGAATTGGATTGACAGGTCCATCTGGTACAGTTTTATCCACTATATTGGTCTAAACGAAGTCCAAGATAAGTATGTTGTACGACCTATTCAAATTTTCGCTAAGAACATGAAATAATTAAATATATTTTACCTCTGTTTTCGTTTCTACATTATCTTCTGATTTTTCATTTTTGTTCTTAATAATTGAATGATCGTCATCTGATTTTGTGTCTTCGTCGCTTTCACCCGTTTCGCTATGGTCATCCGATCTTTGATTTTCATCTTCCAAAATAAAATCTTCATCATCACTATCCTCATCGTCTGGATCTTTAATCATACGAATTGGTGTTTTCTTTTTTATTGGAGGTGAAAAATGTTGTTTTCGATCTGGAGGCGTGGTGGATTCTATTTGATTTTTCAAATATTCATTACGACATTTTTGTGTTACTTGAACGCGAAGTAATTCTTGAAGATGATAGAGAGTTTTCGATTTTGTTATTGTTTTATCTAATATGCAACAAAAAAAAGCAGACAGAGTAAATTTGTGTACAATTTATTCCTAGATTATTTTCTTACCCGATAATAGTGATTTGTTGTCCGACACTTGAGAGCTATAAACAAATTTAAAATGAAAATGAATTATCATTAAGTACACGATTAACTTACACTCGTTCATTTTTCTTTATTGCACAATTGTTGAGATCAATAATTTGTTCTTGATTGATATTTTTTGCTAACGTTGGTTTTTTCTTCATCAATGATTCTGGTATATGACGAGCTAATTTTTCGTTAACTGGATGTATTGAAGTGGATAGTGTTTTCTCTTCTGTTTGAACATCACTAATCATGTCTGTTAATATTTTCAATTGTATTTCAGCTGTAGTCAACACTGGAGCTGGGGTTATTTCAACCATCTCAGCCACTCTAAAACAAACCAAAGAATTGAGGGTTTTTTTTGTAGTAAAAATTATTAACAACAAAAATATTTTCTGCTTACTTTTGTGTTTGTGATTTCCGTTTGTTCAAAAAGGCTGCAATCGATGTAAATTGTTCGGGTTTATGATAAGGAAGCCGAAATGTGGATTCTAAAAGACAAAAAAATAATAAAGCAATCGATTATTTTCGTTGAAAATGATTATTCACATACCACGCAAAAGTTTTTGAGTATTTTTTTGAACTTCTAAAACAGCTGCTTTCGTTGGTTTTCTTGGCTAGAATGTACATAAGATCAAAACTAGTAAATGATACAGTTCAATTAACCAATTTACCTTCTTTGTTCCGCCAGACTTTTTAATTTTTCCAATATCATCTTCTTCATCTGTGTCTAATTTTGAATCTGACAATATAATAAAAAAATCAACAGGTATTTTAAAAAGTTATAAATAATCATTTCATTCGTTGTATTATAGAATACTTACGTATTTCGATATTTTCATGACCTTCATCAGCATCATATAAATCCAACTTATCCATCATCTTGAATTTTGATTCAGAACTATTTTCATTATTAACTCGTTTTAATATATCAGAAAATGGATCGTCATTAATCAGTTTTTCATCACTTGATGATGGACTTGGTGGTGTAAAACTAATTCGTGATTTCGATACATATGATGGTTCAGTCAATTCTACATTGTCATTATCACTAAATGAATCATTACGAATAATACGCGTTTGTTTGTTTTTCTTTATTGTAATAAATTCATCGACATCGTCTTCTCGATCACTTAAAATACTTTCTTCATCTTGATTCTTTTTCTCTTTATTCTTATTGTTGTCAACATCATCATCATCATCGTCATCGTCACTATAGATGATTTTCTTAATCGATTTTCGTGGTTGTACAATTGATGCATCATCAACAGATGAAGACAGAATTTCATCAGCAATATTGGACATCTAAAATTAATAAAAATAATATATCAAGTTAAAACGCATCACCGATGATTAATAACGCTTTTCATAGACAAAAAAAATGTAAGTGGATTTAGACTGGTTGACTGTACAAACAATGTAGTAATGTATATTTTTCATTATTCAATGGAAAATATACATTACTACATTTTTTAACACTTCAACTCTTCGTTGATTAATCTAAACTATTTTATTACGTACACCTCACGATAGGATGCATTATCATTGGTTGTTGACTATAGGTAGTCGACCATGCTAATTCCGAATATCAACATGAGACGTACTGCTATGCCTCCAGAGACTGGATTTCTAGAAAATCAATTTATTTTAACTCCAGAAAATCTCTGAAACTTTTCTTAATAAGTCATGTTTGTAGCACACGCTCATGATTAAAATGAGATATCCTCCCGCTCTACACGACCTTTCTTTACAAAGTTATAGGATCTACACGAAAAGCCCTAATGTTCAGAGATATAGAAAATAAAAGAAAAAAGGAATTTACGGCTCTTCTTGTAAACTCTATAACTTTGCAGAGAAAGATCGTGTAGAGCTGGAGGATGTCTCATTTTAATCAGAATTTCGCGCGCTACAAACATGACTTACTAAGAAAAGTTTCGGAGATTTTCTGGAGTTTCTGGAAAATTAGTCTCTGTAGGCCTAGCAGCACGTCTCATGTTGATATTTGGAATCAGCTACCTATAATCCACTAGGTTTCGGCCCGAAAGCGATTTATCAGTTGGGAACGTTTCCTCGTGAGAAAGAAATAAAGAAAATAAACAAATAGTAAAATAATGTATGCGGTATGTACCTAAGATTAACGAATTTAATGTAAAAGTACACGTATTTTGCCACAGAATTTTATAACTTTAGAATATTCGAATGCTATGTGTTTATAAGTAGAAAAAAACATAGAAAAGATTTCGACTTAAAGTAGCTTTTTTGAAGCGTCAGGCAAGACTGCCGAATACGAAGTCACAATTTCACATGTTTTATTTTCTAGTTTAATACTGTAGTGGAGATATTTCATTTTGTTTTATTTAACTATTAAAGAACAACAGCAAATTCGATTTTAAATTCTTTACCCTCTTTTCTATACACTCACATTATTCTCTAGTTCTAAAATTGTACGAATCTAAATTTCTACAATTCTAAAACTTTATAGTTCTAATACTCTGTGTATGGATTTACGTTTATACACTAGCACGATTTTTATATTAACATTCTTAATCGTAATCGGACAGCTCTTAGTATCGTGAAGTAATTCCCTTCCAACAGAAGTGAAAGTTACCATAACATCATTTAGAAAGAGGATTTTGAACACTCTTACATTTAATAATCAATCATTCTTCAGACGTATACTTAAACGAACAGCAACTAGTTTGAAAAAGATAAAAGATAGAAGTTGCATGAACATTTCTGATGATATTCAGCTTTTTAACTTTTTCTCAATAAAATTTTGAGGAAAAAGTTTGTTTATGTATATTGTGTTTAAAAACTCCACAAGCTCCATACTCTGACGAACGACTAAAAACAAGAATTAAAGACACATGTCGTAAATATATTGAAAAAAAGACAAAAATAGATCTATATCAGAAGAAAAAAATCATAATTCAAGACAACTCAAGACATTTTCATACAATATCAGGGAAAGTAGGACAGTTCTGCTTAGGTAGGTAATAGTGATATTTATGTATTACAATAAATCGTGGAGAAAAACAAAAAAAAGTATTTTATCAATATTTATTTAGTGATGCTAATGATAAATAGTAATTATCAATGTATTTAAAATATTTTCTACCAACGGAAAGAAACACAAAGCCGGTAAAGAGTCCAAGGGTTAAATGTAATCTTTCATTGTTCGATTTTAATAATGAGGATGACGACGACAACAAGAACGATCGCAAAGTTCTCCACATTAATAACGAGCCGAAATTAAATAGACTACCAACAAATAGACTAATAATTAGTTTTTTTTCTATCGTTGCCTGTTTTAAATGTGGACGAGTGTAAATATAATACATGGTTCCAATGTGACTATTGAACCAAAAGACATTCAATAAACCATCACTTCGTTTTGAGCTAATACTAAAACGAGAAATAGAAAGTTATAGAATCATAGTACTTTTTCGAACTAGATTTGAGTTCGATCACGGTACACACTGACGACCGCAGTTATTTATTTTTTTGATGATTATCGGAACTAGTGGACTCTGATTCGAATTTCTACATGAAAAAGCATTTTGTGCATTTTCATTGCGGTTTTAAATGAGTTTGCTCGACGAAAAATAAAAATCGGTGATGTCCCTGTTCTTCTTGTCGAGTTTCAGTACACTGAGAGAGAGTTATTAAAAAAGCAAATAAATTCACCTGCACGGTAGTCGTGAGGTCATATAGTAGAATTATTTTTGGTTGTTTCAGTGCCTTTAAATCTTATCCACTAATATAGAAATTAATCTTTTCTCTATACGATGTACACGTTCAATATGCTAGGCAGAAGTAGAGCAGCTTTGGAAAAAGAAAATTTACTACACATTTTATCACGAATAAATATTTTGGCAATAAACCGTGGTGAAGAGTATAAACGATAAGAACAATCTGGGAGATTTAGAAACGCTCTACAATATTTATTCTCTTACCTCGCAAGTATTCTCGGCGACATTGTATAAGTCGAAAGTGCTAAATAGCTGGTAGATGTGACATTATTTAAAATTTTATCGAATAAACTACGAGCAACAACTTCAGTGTTACTGTTCATCATTGCTCAAAAAATAATTCTACTAGTTAATATTATTAATTAGTAAGTCTTTGTCGCAAAACGTGATCTGTATGAGACATCAAAACAAAACAAAAATGAAGTGAAGTTGGTTTTTATTCGTCGAATACTTAGACCAATATAAATTGCTTCTAAAGATCTCTACTGTTGTCATATTATGAATTAAATATAGATTTCTTTATGATATTAGTTTAGTTTTCGCATTTTTTTTACACTTGAATAATAAATGACATACAAAAATTCAAATTTGAGTGCATTAATAAGTTGCACTTAATTTAATGCATCTAACTGACCTATTTGATTTTGATTCATTTTAAATATGATACAAATTGGTAAAATTTCTAATTGTTTTTTGTAATTATGTCCTAAATGATTGATAAACATCATGTATTACTCATCACCAAGTGAAAAAAGTTCTTCGTATCACATTTATGATTCTTGATGATTTTATTTATTTATATGATGTTGTTGACGATGCTTTGAGGATGAAGAGGAAAACAATAAATAAGTCTCTAATCAACAATATTTGCCTAATTATCAATTCTGCTTACTCTCAGCTTCTTTCGTCTCACCTCTTAACATTAATATAGCGAGAGGTTAAATGCAGTGAGATGACGATACTCTGTCGAGCTATTTTTAGCTCTTCATTAATGTTTTCTTTTCTCACTAAAGTGTGTGTTATTCCATTTTAGATTTATATCCTTTTTTTCTCATTTAGTTTTCTTTTTCTTTTGCCCGTGATCTTAAAGAGATAAATGTGTTTATTACAAACTAAAAAAAATAAAAGTTATATTTTATTCGATGGATGAATTTTGTGGTTTCAATAACTCTTATAGTATTGCTATTACTTGTATTAGTAATTTGAAGTAGAAGACAATAATAAATGCCGCTCATATCATGTTTTGGAGGAAAAAGCGAAGACGACAAGAAAAAAAAACAAATTAATAAACAAATAAATGCTAAACTAAAACAAGATGAAAAAATTTATAAAGCAACTTATCGACTGTTACTATTGGGTAAGAATAATGCATGATTTTTTAATCTGATTTTTACGATAAATTTTACTTTTTTAAAGGTGCTGGTGAGTCTGGAAAATCAACTGTAGTAAAACAAATGAAAATTTTACATAATCCATTTACACAACAGTATGTACTTATTACAAAGTGACTAATATCATTCTCAAAACTTATATCTATATGCCTTAGAAGTATACGTACTTGCTCTGTTGCTTTTGAAAAAATTGAATACAGACACTTACATACTTTTTTTTTAATAGTCTTACCAATTGCGTGATCCTTCTACTCTTTAGAACTAATATACTAACTATATATTTTCTTCTCTTTATTGTTGTATGGGACAAGTTAACTGACTGATAAAATTTGTCTTTTATTTAGAGAAAAAATAGACAAAATTCCTGACATCAAACGAAATATTCGTGATTCATTAACTGTAAGAACAAACAGCATAACTATAAAACTTTTGTTTAAAAATAGTTTAATTTCATTCTTTCTTGTCATTTTCAGAGTATTCTAAAAGCGTTTGACGCTATATCTCCGCCCGTACAGCTAGAACATCCTGAAAATCAAATTAGTGTTAATTATATTCTTACCACAGCTAATCTAATTGATTTTGACTATCCACCAGAATTTTATATGCATGCCAGTATACTGTGGAAAGATGCTGGTGTACAAGCTTGTTTTGAAAGATCGAATGAATATCAATTAATTGATTGTGCTAAATAGTATGTTGAATGTTTTTCAGTATTAGTTAGCTAAATTTTTCTGTTTATTTTATAGTTTTCTTGATCGTGTTGACGAAGTAAAAGATCCAAATTATATGCCAAGCGAACAGGTAAAACATAAAAAAATCCTTTTCTTATTTACTGTTCTGCTACATATTCGTTTCTTATTTATTTAGGATATACTACGATGTCGTGTTTTGACATCCGGAATCTATGAAACGATATTTACTGTTGAAAGAGTACGCTTCCAGTAAGTCAAGTTGTTGTTTTTTATTGTTTTTTCAGATTGTTATATCTGAAGTTTCTTTTAGTATGTTTGATGTTGGTGGTCAACGTGAAGAACGTCGTAAATGGATTCAATGTTTTAATGATGTGACAGCCATTATATTTGTGACAGCATGTAGTAGTTTTAATCTGGTACTTATTGAAGATGAAGGACAAAATCGTTTAAGAGAATCATTAGATTTATTCAAAAATATCTGGAATAATAGGTATGATGTAGTTTTAACTTATATTACTATGTGAAGAGGAGTGGGTGCAAGATTTCTCTTGAGAATGTGAGAGACAAAACTTTGGCAGAAAGTGTATTCTGAAGATTCTCCAGAAAGTATACTTTTTGCGTGAATTTTACAACAAAAATGAAGTTTTTACTATACAGAAAGTCTAAAACTTTGAAATAGCCAGTCGTACAGAGAGTCTAAAACTTTTGAAAGTGGCCAGTCTCTTTCTAATTGCGAAGCCTGCATGGATTACCACATTCTGGTTTCGAAAAAAAAAGGTTTTTCAGTATTCCTCAATTATGGGCATATCTGATCCACTGAAGGTGGCTTATTCATAAACGTTAACATTTAACCCGATTTATTAATGATGAAGCAGAAGTAGTTTTTCCCGATGAGTAGAGTGATTGTTTATTAATATTGATGTGCTGTTCATTTTTGAATTTTTTTCATTCTAGATGGCTAAGGACAATATCCGTCATATTATTTTTAAATAAACAAGATCTATTAGCTGAAAAAATCAAAAGTGGACGAGCAAGATTAGAGGATTATTTTCCAGATTTTTCACGTTATGTTGTATCACAAACAGAACCCGGTAAGTAGACTTGTAAAAACAAAAATATTATAATATAAACTTTTATTTATTCTTTTTCGTAGAACTTTCTGTACAAAAATGTAGTAAGACTACCTTACTTTTCGTTTTTTTGTGCGTGCGTGCGTGTGTGTCTATAGTTGTGTGTCTACTGTAAGTTTGTTTATTCTTTTGTTTTGAACACTGTGTTTAATTTTCGCAACGTCTCTAAAAAAACAAAAAAAAGCGAAACATTTTTTATTTTTGTAGATTCCTATTGTTATGAACTATTTTCATGTACGACACAAAGACACGGTCAGTCAGAGTTAAGAAGAGAAGAGTTACACTACGACACTTAACAATATTTTTATTTTCCACAAGCGAAGCACAGAACCTAACGATCACTTCGGGGCGTTTTCACATTTATCGAATTTGAAAATGAATTTTAATTACATTTAGAACCAGTAGTCTTGAAAGCATTCAATTTTCTGAGAAACCTCTAGTTTCTTTCGATTATGATAGTTAACGATAACTTGTGAACGTTTTGAAAAGTTTTTTTTTTTTGTTTTGCTTGTCAGCAGTTCCACTTTCGTTTGAAAGATCATATTTGCACAATTCTTTGTGAGTCTATGTGTGTGAGCGTGTGAGTGTGTGTGTGTGTGTGTGACTAATATCTCTGAAGTAGTTCGAAACCATAAGAACAAATCAATATTCTGTGTCATCAAATTATGCATGCTTTTACTTCCAACAATCTGTCAAATGATTTATTTCCTTTTCCTTTCCTCTAAGTATATTCTTCTAGAAAGTTTATTTGTTTCTTATTGTTGTATGCTAAAATCTAAATGGTCATACTTTTATGTTGGTTATTTTTAGATAAAGCCGAGCCTGATGAAGATCCAGAAGTAACAAGAGCAAAATATTTTATACGTGATGAATTTCTGGTATGTTTATCTCGATAATTTTCTATGCAATTAGTCTTTACAAAATGTGTTGATGATAAGCCTGTTCAGTTAAACGGAACATAATTCGATCTAGAAGTAGATTTGATAAATAAAACATGTTATATACTTTTCTCTTATTTTGTTTAGCGTGTAAGTACCGCAACCGGTGAAAATCGTCATTATTGTTATCCTCATTTTACATGTGCTGTTGATACAGAAAATATTCGTCGTGTGTTTAATGACTGTCGGGACATTATACAACGTATGCACTTAAGACAGTACGAATTGCTGTGATTGTGTGTGTGTATTGAGGAAAATTTTTCATTTGTGTGTGTGTGCGTGTGTATTCAACTTAACCTTTCAAAGTTTGTCTTTTTTTTCTCTATTAGATATTTTTTTTTCTCTCTCTCTCTATTATTATTCTTGTGTTTTACATATTTACTCTCATCATCATTTTTTTGTGTAGAAGAATCTCTGTCTGTGGTTGTTCTAGCACACACACGCACAAACACATCTCGCTCAAAGGCCTGAGAACAAAAAGGAAGAAAACTCTCGATGGTGCCCTTCTTCTTATCCTCTCTAATAGGCACCAAAATGAAGAACAGTTCCCCGTACCCTCCCTCTGCACTTCTGTTGTTGTGTGTGTGTGTGTGTGTGTGTGTGTGTGCGTATTTGTGTGTGAGTGTTTTATCTTGCACAATAATGCTCTTGTAGGTTAGTTAAAAGTGTGTGTTCGTTCGTCGTCGTTCAAACAGTAAATTTTCTCTGAAGTCTTACAACAGTTACTTTTTTTTTTCTACCTGTGTTGTGTATATTTCTTCAATCGAGTTTAACTTTTTTTTATTTTACGCACTGCTGTTGTTTATTTTTATTTTTCTTAGAACAATTTTTTCTTTTTCTGAATACTAACCAAAAAAAAACGAATCTCTCACCCTACGCGCTTCTCTCTCTCTCTGTCTTGGTGTGTCTGTATCCCAGCAATATAGGATTACACATCATTTGTTTGTTTGTTTTGCTCATTACATCCTCTTGCTCTCTCTATCTCTCTCTCTCTCTCTCTCGCTTTTGTATCCTGATCTTTTTTTTTCTTTTTCTAATTACATGATTGTGTATTATTTACTTGTATTACTACTAATATTTTATTCTCTCTTTCGGCGTTTATAATTCATTCAATTTTTTTTTAAATGAAATTAAAGTGTCAATGTGTTCATTTTTTCATATCTATATATACTTCATAAATATAAAAAACAAATTTAAAGCGCGAAAACAAACTTTAAATTTCTTATCTGTTTGTGTGTGTCTCTGTTAATAATGAATGAATTTATTAAATAAAAACAAGAAAGTTACTCAAGAATTATTTGATATACGCGTGTGATGAAAATAAAATCAATAATATTCCATTTTTAATCAGGATTGCCAAATCTCTTGATTTTTAAGATTTTTTCCTAATTTTTTCGGATTTTCAATTGTTTTCCTGCATTGATTTTTGTTTCTTCGAAAACTGAGATTATCAGTTTCAGAAACAGAATGTCTGGATCAAGAGTCTTAATAATTGTACATTGAAAGAGCCCGCTGTGTGCTTATTGAATGTTCTCATTACAAGAAGATGAGATTAGTGAATTTCCAAACCCATCGGATCAAAATCTTCATCCTCAATCCGTACTGTCGTAGTCTGTAACAAATGACAATACTGTTTCATCAAAAAAAATTTTTTGAAAAAGTTATTAGATTTTTTTATTTTGCTTGTCCAAAAGCAACTGTCTGATACTCGCCTGATGTTCCTCCTGATTTCTAAAAATTGGATTTGAACACCCTGTTTCCAACTACGTTTATTCACGCGTAAATATAAAGGTCTACTTAATGCGTTCAAGATAACAGTACAATTATTGATTTTGATAAGTGTCAACATGCATTTCCTAATTGAGCTCAACAAATTCATCCGTTTTATTAATTCATTAACTAATAGTAAGCAATAATTGTTGTTTATTATTAAAAACAAACACAATTATTAGTTAGTGTAGTCATATTTGAACTGTTACAAGAGAGTGATATCTTCAATCTAAATCGGAGAGTAAACTGATCGATTCGCGTCAACTCTTTTTGGGTTTTTGACAGGTGACAAAAATAATTGTTGATTATTCATTTATTGAAAATGGAGCTCAAAAAGACTCGTGCTGGTGTGTTTTAGTGTCTTCGTTGAGAGACAGAATAAAGCAGCGACGATAGCACAGCAATATTTGTGGAAAGATTTTAATTTTAGTTGGAAAACTTTTAGGTTTATCTCATTAATTAAAAACAATAAAAAAATGATACTGCTTCGACTATAGATGTCGTGGACATACGTTGACTAAGTTTAAACTATATTTCACATAATAAAAAGCATCTGAGTATAAATGATAGAAAGTTCTTATAACAAATCCGACAATAGATAACTGTTGTTTTACATTGCATGTTCAAGAAATGAGCGAACTTATAAGTCTGAAATATGGGTGGCATCATTACATTTTGATAGCAACAAGAGCATTATTTTGCATTACTTTGTCGAATGAAGAAGCTATTACATTAACTAACCAATGCTAAACACTTCTTAAAATATAATGAATAAAATAAAAAATAATTCCAGAAAAATGGCATAATTTAACCCGTATATTAGAACTTCAATAAAAATAGTACAAAAGATATTGGGTTTTCAAATGAAATATTTTCGATACTATTGATCCCGATGCAAATTTATTTATTTATTTATCATGAACAAATGATCCCCATTAAACTGTTCTTGTGAGAAAAGAGAAAACTGTCTCTCTCACTTTTCATCGGCTCTACTAGATTGGAGATCAATCGAGTTTGATCACGTATAGGAGATGAGATTCGCGGCGATTCATTACGTTCATTGTATGAGCGTGAACTTGATAAATACCCATGTAACAATTTCTAATGTAAAAAACGCGTTTACGAACGCAATCCGAACGGGTTTAAATGGCTTAAAAATAAAACAATTGCGGCGTTCAAACGCTTTTTGTTTCGCTTATATACAAACGCGTTTACTTGGCAAGTAGCGTCCAGACGTGGTTCTGAAATACAAGCATTCAAGCGCGTTTTGTTCATCAAACGCTTAAAAATGGCCTAGAAATGAAACATTTGAAGCATTCAAACACATTTTTTCAAATGCAAACGGATATATGGGTATATACCAAGGGGGAAAAGGAGACTTTTTCTTTCTTAGCATCGGATGCTGAGCATCTCAAGCTCCGGAACGCATTTCAACGACTCCTGAAAGCTCCCGGAGCCGCCTTTTCCCCCTTGGTATATACTGTATAACTACCATCTGTATTTTGTGTGACTTTCCATTTATAATAGAATAATGGATATTTTTTATATTCTAACTTCTACATTATGTATTTAAAAATGCCAAATCTTTTATGTTATTTTTATTGACATTCTAATAAAAATGGCTAAAATTTATGTCACTTTTCTGAGATTAAAAATATTCTAATCCAAATATAATTAGTAAACTAACTGACTTCATGATTTCTATACTAAAGTACATGAATAGGGTCGAAGTTAAATATAGAGACTTACTCAAATAGACTCGATACTAACTTAACTGGAACTGTTCAATTCAATTATGGGATTGGAGTCGAGTCAGATTATAGATCTCTCATTAAGTATACATTTCAAAATACATTTCTGCTTTGTGCACTTATAAAACTGAATATACTTACATCTCATCAACAAATAGATAATATTTAATTTTTGACGTGTTTACTTGACAAAAACATGATAGTGTTTGACTACTAGTACTCAATATATCCACTTATATCTTTTGTATATGATACTGAATTTATATGAATTATAAGTGAATTGAAGTTGTGTTCATCAAATAATTATATCAAAAGAATAATTTTATGTTTTAGAAAATAATCTCACTTAGCACCGTCACTCGTCTGTGTCTATTTAATTATTATATAAACAAAAAGAAAAAGAGAGAAAATATTGTCTTTTTTTTTTTATTCATATTTGTTCTAGTATTAATATAAAAATATAAAGTTGAAAACGAGATATAAAACAGATCAACATGTTTTAATCGAAAATAGAATATTAGTCATGTAGTTAACCATCGAAATCAATACGAATATAATAGATAAAACATTTTCATTTTTCTTTTCAAAAAAAAAAAAACAACAACTAAAATGTCAAAATAATTGTTATTCTCATCAATTTCAAATTACTAAATTCTTCTAAAATGATGACATCAAATGGGTATTCATAGTAGATATAAGATAGTATATATTCATGGAATAAATGATGAATGATACGATTTACAATGATAGGTGAACAAGAAGATTTGATTATAAGTTTCTAAAATTTCACAAGAGAATGGAAAAATTGACATACAAATAAATGTCATAGGCCAAATGACATTTATTTGTATGAATAGTTAAATTTGCCAGTTTTGGAATATATTTTGTGTTTTAGATATAGACAAGAAACGAGATTATGTATAAAAGAAAAGAAAAAAAAGATAATTAATTTAGTTCAATTTTCAAAATGATGAACATTTATGATATATTATCAACTTATAAGAGAGTTAACGGCTGATATGGGTGAGAAAGTTACGTAACAGTCATGAACATTAATCATTTTCAAAAAAAAAAAAAAGAAGATTCAACACCTCACTATTTCATTTTCATTTAAGTTGCTCACTGTTCAAATAAATACCGCGCCTCAGATGTAAAAGAAAAGTGTAAAATAAATATTATAGCGTTAGCAATATGTAGTAGTTAGAATATATGTTTCTGGACACAATGGTCTTTAGTTTATTTCCAACAGTATAAAATAAATTGATGTTATTTAGCTAATTTGGTTGTTACTTCACTGCCAAGAAGAACATCGTAAGAGAGATAGTTCGAAAATTATTGTTTAAACATATTTTTCATCCAATAAATGTTTTACGTACACTTTTGAAGGAATGTCAAAAAGTTATTTGTACTTGTAGATAGAATATTTTTCTGTTCACTTGTATCAGTGTTATGAACAATCTGTTCATAAGTACTCACAATATATGTTGATGACTTATCAAAATTAAATAAGAGTTTCATATATACATTTGAGATGTGATTAAAAATCAACGTATCATCATTATCATTTAGTTTAATGTAAGAAAATTCTTTTCTTTTTTTCTTTCTTTAACCAATGAAGAACGTTGTTTAAAATTTTTTAATAAAGAAATCGTTTTAGCCAATGTTTTTTTCTTTCTATTCTTCGTTCTCACCATTAGACTCTAAAAACATAAATCATATTACCACTACTCTTTTTTTTTCTTTCGTTTTTCTTCGTTCTCTTTCTCTCACCCAATAGGGAGACACCGTTCATCTCGTTTAAACGTTTGAACTCAAATTAATTTTGTGCAATTGAACTCGATCATCTGCGGTGAACATCAAACATACAACGCCGATAATATATATTTAAGATCTGGTGCACACGTTTCTTCCACATCATATCTCTTTCTCTCTCTTTAACAACAGGATGGTACCTATAAAACATGAAATTATGTTGGGATAGTGTTCATTTTATTTTTGAATCTATTCTCAGAAAATAATAATAACAATAATGTCAGTATTTCCATGGTTTGGTACGGCCGACATGCTATTAACAACAACAACGACAAACAGAAAATATTCAGAAAATAATATTACAACTTTAAATTTGGATTTTGCAAATATATGCGGTAAGATTATGTGCTAGTTGAAATACAAAAATTCGAAAGATATATTCTACTGTATTAAAGTTTAACAGAAGAAAAAAAAACAAGAATTTTTGTTAGTTTATTTAAAATTGTTGACAAATCAATGAGTTGAACTAAACAAGGGTCTTACCTATCTAAAATATCTTGCTTAACATTTTTATTTAAAAGAAGATTTTTTCGGCTCACTTTGTGGTTTGATAATGAAGGTAATCATTAATTATTATTTATAGTAGGATTTCGATAACTAAGCAGAAAAAAAAGGCATTATGGTGGAAAAAAAGATGATTTAAAGTGCATGACTAATGAAATTGTTTGGTTAGCAGATTTAAAAAGAAGCACAAATTTTGTCTTAAAACACATACTAATATTTTGAAATAATCTGAACTAGTAACTGTTTACGATCGATCCATTAAAAAAATTTCTTATTTTTTTTAAAATAACTTTTAACAGAAACACAATCGAGATCTATGGTTTCCACCTTTTTATAGAGCTCTCCTTTGAACTATTTTCAGTCGTGAGAAGATTACAACAATCGGCGTTTACTATATACATACTTGATAATTTAACGAGGATTGAAAGTCACTCATTCACCATCTTATTTTTGAAAGACAGTCTTGTTTTACTCAATATCATTTTTTATGTCTTTTTTTATTTAGCTGAACAGTTAAAATTCATATTTGGATCTCAATTTTACAACGGAAATAACGTCACATTTTCACATCCTTCATTTATTAGACCAACACTACCTGTTTGTATTCCATCAGTTCCATCGTCCACTAATGATGATTCCAATAATCAATCATCAACATCATCTCCAAAAATTTCTGAATCTTTACCATCAAAAACAATAGTCGTACATGATGAAGAAGAACAAGGTGAATTACTTGATGATAGCGGTAGTACAACTGATGCCTATAAATGTCGTGAATGTGATAAATATTTTTCCACTGCTCATGGTCTTGAAGTTCATGCACGACGAACACACATTGGTTTACGACCATATTCATGTGATTTATGTCAAAAAACATTTGGTCATTCGATATCATTAAAACAACATCGTCTTACACATTCACAAGAACGATGTTTTCAATGTAAAACATGTTTCAAATGTTTCAAACGTTCTTCAACATTATCTACACATTTACTTATTCATTCTGATACACGACCGTATTCATGTACTTATTGTGGAAAACGATTTCATCAAAAATCTGATATGAAAAAACATACGTATATTCATACAGGTAAGAATTTATTAAACAAAATTAAGAATTTAAGTTTTCGTTTTGATATTCTCTCACTCTCATTACTGAAACCGATTCTAAAATTAAATATATTTGAACTATTTAAAAAAAAAATATGGTAAAATTCATTTTGAAGAATTTTTTTTTGAATTGATTAAAATTTATATCAAATAGTTTAATTTAAAATTCTAGCGTAAAATAGAACGTTTTTCATATAAACTATAGATGCTTTCAATAATTGAGATTTTTTTCTCTATTTTCATTACAATTAGTAGAAGAAAAATGAGCAAGTGACATATCTTTCTAATCGATTAGAAAGATATCTTTCTTTTCTTTTCTTTTTTTATGCTAAACAACTGCCATATTGTATAGTTGCATATATAAGAACATAGACACAAGAGTTAGTGATAGTTTTGATTCTGAGAGCAAATAATCTCTCCAATTTAGCAGATGCTTGACATGAAAGTCAACTACTCTTTTTTTCTCCATCATTGTCTCTAAGGCTTTTTAAACATTTATTGAATATAAAGTATACATATCGCGATATTCGTAAGAAAACATGAGAAGAGAAGAGAGAAAAAGACGTTTCATTTCCATGATTTTACACTTTTGCTTTTTTTTTTGTTTTGCATATAGACAGATTCATTTCAAGAAAATTACAGTTATAAATAAATAAAGAAATCTAGCTCTCGTAGTATATATGCAATAATGGCAATGTAATCTAATTGCTTTGACAGTTCGAGATAGAGAATGATATTCGTGAAAGAAATAAAAAAAAATCTGGCAATTTTATCTGTGAAGAGGAGCTAAAACGATTTCATTCAAAGAAGTTGATTTAAAGTCTTTTTACTTTTCGTATTGAAAGAGAAGAGGCAGACGCAAAATGGTCTTTTCGTCCAATTTTCGAATGAAAAAACGGGAACGCGTTTTTAAAAATTGATTCTTGTTGACCACTAACTTTCTTTTGATTAGAACATAAATAGACGTTATTTTAATAGAGAAAAACTTGTTTTTAAACAAAAAAATTCATTTTTAAGAAATGTATGACAACAGCACGTTGTAGTCTACTGCTTCTACGGTAAAAAAGAACAATATTAGTGTAAAGTTAATGATCGGCGCACATCTTTTTGTTTCTAAGTCTTTCATTCTCTAGCGGATCCTTACAAAGAGATCAGTGGATAATGATCATTTACACTTTGTATTCAATTTCGAATAGTGGATATACATACTTGTTTCTTCTTTATTTCTTTTGTCATTCGTTGATCATGCATTCTGTTACAATTAAAGTGTGAATAAAAAGAAAAAGACCAATTTTTTAATTGGGAAGAGATAGCTAGCTATTCATTCACCAAGGGAAATACGACAAAAGATAAGAACGAGATAACCAAGCTTTTCCTTGCTTCTAATGACAGTTACTTTCTCTATTTTATCAATAGTTGTAGTATTCTTTTTTTTTGATTGCGTATAGAATTAAAAAAATTTTTTTTTTCAAAATTATCACTAGAAGAATTTTTTTATAATCAAGATCTTCACACTTTCTTCAAGTTCAAGAGGAAAATGACAAATAAAGTAGAGAAAAAAATGATTTAGAATACCACTTTGTACATCAGAAGATATAAAAGAGTAAACCTTCCTCATTTCAAGAAGAGTAAAAGAAAAATCCATCATATATTTATCACTTTATACAAGCCACTCTCCGGCAATATGAACATTTAAAATAAAAAGACTAGATAATATTAGATTTATGTTCTCTGAGCATCACCATCAAAAAAGAAATTATTTAAAAAATTACGGAGAAATCCACGATGTCTATAAGAAAATAGCTTTCATTGCAAAGAATTAAAATGTCCATAGATATCATAGTTGACGTGATACATCAATTCGTTCTATTTTATTGTACAATAGAGATGTTTTATTTATATATTCGAAAGATCCTGAAAAATTCTACAATATATATATATATAAATTTCTTGATCTTCAAAGTTGAATAAATGAAAAAAAATATGTTTGAACGTTAGGGGAAAGTTTTAGGTATATTTGAGAAACAAGTGTCTCCACAATAGATTCATTCAACAGAGCCAATTGATAACAGTCGAATTCAAGTAGTAGTTTAATTTTAAGTCTCAAAAAACTGCTAAACATTTTTTTAATATTAGATTTACGCAGGGCCGAGTATGATATCTGTAAAGTTTAAATCTATAGTCAAACAGTTGCCTAGCTCATAGTAATACTATAGTTTAATAGTGTGCTCTTATTTTAGGTGAAAAGCCACATAAGTGTATTGTATGTGGTAAATCATTTTCTCAATCGTCAAACTTGATTACTCATAGTCGCAAACATACCGGCTTTAAACCGTTTCAATGTCATAAATGCGGTAGAGCATTTCAACGAAAAGTCGATTTAAGACGTCATATTGATACACAACATGGTCCTGAACATATCAGTGGAAATATAGCATTAGCATCGGCAACAACAACCAGTTTAAAAATGTATGTACCACGTCATTCAATATTATCGAATCAACAACAACAAAATGATTCAACGACAAACAGTAGTAGTGATCATTCATCCGCTGGTGACTGTTCAATATCTAGTCAAAAACAACGTATTTTAGATCCTGTCGGAATTATTATTCAAGAACTCGCTAATAGACCGTAGCGTAAGAAAGTTTGAACTTGTTCCGAAAATTTACTATTTTTTTGTTTCGTTCAATGACATATGTTCTTTAAATATATATGATAGGTGTGAATTTTGGGTGGTGTCATGCAAAGTCAGGAGAACAAAAAAAGAGAAAAGAAGTGCTACGTGCCATATGTTACTACTTTTTACTGTTATCAAAACCTTTCTTAGAAGATACGTTAACACAACAGACAATGATGACCTTTATTTTTTGACATTTTTCACCTTATTTAGTAGAAACGAAAGTAAATTATTCAACTTTATTCTTATCTCTAGATAGCAAAGATTCCGATACGACTAGTTTGACAGCACGCGCATAAATTTACTTAATTTATTTTTTTTTAATTTTTAACTGGAATTACTTTCGACATTCAATAATGAAGTCAAAACGTCACGTTAAAATAAAATAATATTAGTAGATAAATGACTGCTACTATATTAAAATTCATAATCTTTGAGAAAACAACTTTAATTTTCAATTAGTTTGATTGTATCTCATTTTTGGATAAGAAATGACAAGTTTGAACAGATCATGAAGCGGTTTTGATATAGGAAAAAAAATGTAACATATCGATTGCGTCAGACAGTTTGCATAGGGGAAAATAAAAAACCTATCGTTACTTGTTATAGAAAAGTAATAACAGCGTCAATAATTTTGACTACTTGATACAAAAATTTCAGTTTTTTCAAATATTGATTATAGATCAACTTAAACAACTTATCATCCGTAAACACACTTGATCAACATTATCTCAATGCTATTTTCTAACATCATCACCACATTCTAATTAGCGCATACCTAGATAGTGATATTAAGTAAATATATATAGAGATATCTATCACTTGGAGAAAAACCTCTAGAAAAAAAACATGTGTTCAAATCGTGTCGTCTGTCAACAGTGATACTTTATATTATAGGTTTTCTCTCCTTCTAATCATTATCATGATCTATAATTGTTGTTTTAACCTAAAGCATGCTGTACCAACTGGTACTCGTTTTTTCTTTTTTGTTGCTTCTTTTTTTTCACCCCAACGGCACTCACTAGTAAGTTGTCAACTGACCAAGCCAAAAGAAAATGTTTTGTTTCTGATTGCTCATCTTTGATTGTAAAAAAGAAAAAAAAAAAAAACACCTGCTCATCCATTATTTTTTTTTTCTTTCTTTTTGTCAATGATAATTTGAAACTTTTCGTTTTCGTTATGCACACGAGTTTTTGACATAAATTGCCTTAAAGCACATAATATGTTTACATTTTTGCGACATCATATTGTACGATCGATGACTGTGATTACAGAGTGAGAGAACGACGTTAGATGTTCAATTATTAAGATGAATTATTACTACTGTGTGCAATATTAAATTGGTTAGAAAATGAGATCATATGGTCTCATCATCAAGAAAAAAACAGATACATATACACATGCACCCACCCACACCCACACACACATAGTGTGTCGGTACTCATTATTTAACTTTACGTAAAAAAGCTGTTACGGCTATCACCGGCTGATAATTTTTTTATTGGATGATCTTTATAGCTTTACTCGAGTTCGATTCTTAGTCATTTTATCTTGTAATATGAGAAACTAGAACAATTAGATACAATCGACAATGTTGTGTGATGTACAACAGTGATATTCTGAATAGTTTGAAAAAGAGGAGGACACTAGAGGTCTGCGGTCCCGATCTCATAAATATTTTTTCAAAGTATCACTGATAGTTTGAAAAGTCAGCGCGTTGTAATGTGAAGCGTGCGATAGCATGCATGAGAGGTATTAACTGAAGAGTTCTTTCTCGCAGAACTAGTGCCTATATATTACAAACAAGCACAAAAACTAAGAAATTATGCATAACTTTTCAACTCTAGTTACAAAATGGAACCAATAGAATTTAACTTCGGGTAGAATCCATTACTAGTTCAATTTGGATTAATCGAACTGTACTAGTTTAACGTTGGATTCTACTAACAAATCTAAAGAATGACTAATTACATAATTTATCTTTATTAGTTAATATCGTCTTATTGTTGAACAATGCAGAACTTATGAAATAGGTCCAGTAGTCTAATCTTCTTTAGAGCCTGAATACAGTAGTAAAAACAAACAAGTCTTAAAATATATTCAATATTCCATTTGTCTGATCTCAATCATTTCAAACACATACACATAAATGTAATCATCACTTTTCTCATTACCAAGTGTCTGATTAACCTAATCACTGGTTAATCTTTCATGATGTCAAAAAGAAAAATTGACATTTTTTTTTCTTCTTCTTCTTCTTCTTCGTTATTTTAACTTGATTCTCGACACGATTTTTTTTTTTTTGCTTTTTAACATTGGAAAATATTTTTTTTTCTTTTCCCTCAACTGGGATTTTATAAACGACAAATCCAAATATAACCGAACGATGATTGCTTTTCTTAGAGACAGAGAGAGAAAGAAATTCTCACTGGATAAGTTGATAGATAAATAATTTCAAAACACATATATGTATAACCTCAGGGTAAACATTACGCGAGAAATAGGATGATGATGATCATCTAACTAACATATTTATGCGAATCAGATAAAAATAAACGAAAAAATTTAAAGTTATGTTTATCGTGTGATAGTAATTGCAAGTTTTTTTTCAAAGAATAATTTTTACTAGTGTTTATACGTCTTTGTCATCCTATTTTCTTCCGAATCTAACATCGTTTACGTGTACATCCCGAGATTAATCGATGATAAATGGTTTATGGATACTTTTCATTTCACCCACATTGGAGAATGTGTCAATAACGTTAAAATGTTGTAGTTAATGATGGAAAGTTAGCAACTCTAAACTGATATAGCACTCATGTTGTTCTAATTAAAAATGAAAATAAAACTTGTAGATCTAAAATAGAACAAATGTCCAAATCATGTTTTAATATTGCATAATAAAGCACATTATATAACGATCTAGATAATATTTCCAAAATGTCGAAGTAATTTAAATGTTCCAATTGTTTTGGATTGCGACAGATCATCTCAAAGAAGCCTTGGGACTCACAAGAGATTCAATTCTACCTCTATACCATGATCAATGAATAAGAGTAGATAGCTTTCATTTTGTAGAGAATACTATAAGATAGTTGTCCGTCTGAGAGAACAAAATATATGGAAATTTAACACTTTCGAATGAATAAGTTGAAAATAAGTTCACCCTTATTTTGAAATTGATACAGTAGTGGATAGAAGTACCTGGAGGGTAGTAGATTCAAATTCTTTTTACTAACCCGTTAATTCCCTGTTAGTATGGAGAACGACGTAATTTTATGTCACAAAACTCTTTCATCATCATCATTATCACCAGCAACAAAAGATTGAGTAAAAATGTTGATAAACACGTGCGCAACACGTTCCATAATTGAAACAGGTTTCTGTTCTTGGTTGCCATTCGAACATTGATGTTTCTAAAATATTGTCATTCAACGTAATATTATGACACTTAGCAGATGAGCTGATTCATTGTACAATTTATGGGGGGGGGGGGGGGGGGGGGGGGGGGGGGGGGGGGGGGGGGGGGGGGGGGGGGGGGGGGGGGGGGGGGG